AAGAGTTTATATTTGACTGGGAATGGGAAATTGTTACCAATGTCGTTTATTGCTGTTAGGAAAAGAGTGACGCTGAGAGCCGATCCTTGGGGAAGACCGTTTTCGATGTCGTGTATGTTTGATGATGAGTTTTGGATTCTTACTCTGAAAGAGCGATTTTTTTAGAAAATTTTCCAGGAACTATAACATGTTTCCGGTTATGCCCCATTTAGAAAGTATCACTATTACTCGGTCTCGTTAAACAATGTCGTACGTATTTTGTAGATAAAGTGAGATAAGCATAAGGTGTTGTTTTCTTTTAAAAGCTGTGCAGATATCGGTGTGTAGAGTAGATAGTTTGTCTATGGTGAATTGATTGCTTCTGAAATCATATTGTTGGTCAGAGATACGTCTAGTTGATTCAAGATACCAAATGAGTCTATTATTTGTAATTTTTTTCCAGGACCTTACTCATGGTGTTAATGAAAGAGATGGGTCTGTAGTTGGGGATTTCAAATTTATTTTTGCCAGGTTTGGGAATCGGAATTATAGTTACAATGTGCCACTGGTTGGAAAAGATTCCTTGAATTCATATGATATGGAAAATCTCTAGGAGAGTCGTTACTTCATTTTCTGGGAGGTTTTGAATAAATGCATATGGAATATTGTCCGGTCCTGGGCTTTTGCTATTGCAGTTTTGTAGCACTGAGTAAAGTTCTTTGAGGTTGAAGGGTTGGTTGAAACTGAGGTTATTGGTAAAGGGATATCTTTCTGTAGTAAGAGGATTTGAGCTTTTGTATGTTATAAAGTCATTTGTGTAATTTCAATTGCTATTTTTGTTATGAAAGAATTGGGCAAACGCTTCCGAAACGTCGGCCGGAGTTGAGTAGGTCTGTTTTGGGAATCTCTTAAACGATCAGGAATAGGTTGAATTGGATTTCCTTTTAGGGATCTAATCTTGTTCCAGAGTGATGAAGGGTCGATTTTATGGTTTATTGAAGAGGTGAATTTTTTTCCATGATAAGTTTTTGTTGGTTTTGGTCATGTACCTAGCTTCTGCCCTTGCTTTTTTTGAGTTGGATGTGGTCCATAGTGTTTTTAGTTTTTTTTTGTATTGGTTTAAAACTTTTATAACTTTTGATTGCATTGTTGCTATCATAATTCTACCAGGGTACCGTTCTTTTTTTATTATTTCTTGATTTAAGTCCAATTGTTGTGTTTGCTGATTTTATTATTATTGTAGTAAAGTCATTGACGATAGTGTCTATGAGTTCTTGAGAATTATTGGATTTAATATCAGTTCATGTTCGACTAGTTCTGCAAAGAGAGTCCAGTTTGGTTTTGCAAGGTTCAATTTGGGGGGCTTGTCATAGGAGTTATTATTGTTGTTAATACAAATTTCTATGGGCCAGTGGTCACTACCACTGTAGGAAATTTGAACCTGCCATTCTATTTAAAGTGCAAGACTGGATATGGTTATGGTTAGATCAATGGCAGATAAGGATCCATTGTAGCTGTTGTATCTGGTGGTGTCTCCGTTGTTTAGTAGTATGAGGGATTGGTCGTTTTCAATTAGTTGCTCAATTATTATGCCACGGGTGTCGGAGGCGTTGCAACCCCACGATGTATTGCGACTATTGAAGTCTTCTAATATTATATAAGGTTTTGGGAGTTGGTTTATTATTTTTTTTATATCAGTGATCGAGAAATGGGTGGTGCTGTCTGGGATGTATATATTACATAAGCAAATTTGTTTTTTCAAGTTCGATAGTAGTTGCTACTGCTTCTAGATGAGTGTTAATAATGACTTCTTTGCTTCGATGTTATTTTTAATGAATGTTGCCACTCTTACACTTGCTCTATTTGTCGATGCTCTGTTTTTATAGTATCCTGTGAAATGTTTTAGGTTTGGGTGATGGTGGTTTTTTTTATATTAATTTCTTGAAAGTAGAGTATGAGAGGGTTGAGATTATATAGGATTTGGTTTATATCAACGGATCTTTTGAAGAATCTGTTAATGTTCCATTGAATAATGTTAGTCATGATAACTTATTTTTTGAGTGAGTTTTGGAGGGTCTATTGATTAGGATTAGGTGGCAGAGCCTGAAATAAAAGATTTGCTAGTTTGGTGAGACGGATTTTGGTTGTACGGTCAGAGATGGAGGGACGGATTTCTTCAATTATATTAATTAAGGTAGAGATGTCTGTATGTGCTTCTTCGATCAATGTGTGGATGTTTATGGATTTGTTGGTGAAATTTTCAAGTATATGTACAAAGTGAGAGTATTCGATTGTTCGATTGACATTGCTTGCAAAGAAATTTTCAATAGGGTTTGTTCCTTCTTCTGACCATACGGAGAAGTTGGATATAATGCGAATTTTTGTTTTTTTTTTAAGTTGAATCTGTTTTTTGGATATTGTGTTAGTGTGAGGAGGTGGTGTGGTGGGTGATTTCGAAGACGAGGTTTCAGATAATAGGCGTTTTTGTGTGATAATACGAGTAATGTTGTTTTCTGGTTTGGAGGAGTTAGGTGGTGGGAGAGGTGTGTTGAGGTCGTTGACTTCTATTGTTTGTGTTGAATCATTAATTTCTACATTTTGATCAGGTTCTGTGGTGGTGTATTCATTAGACTGAGAGCGAGAGGGGGGGAGTAGTTTCATTTGGTGTATCACTTGGCATTATTAGATGGTCTGTTGCGGTGTTTGGTTGCGATTTTGGATAATCATTTTGTTCATTTGTATTAACTGGGTTTGTCTGTGGTAAATTATTACAATGGGCTGATGTGTGGTCTGTCTGTTTGCAGAGATAGCATGTCATTGTATCGTCCGTTAGAAAAAATTCTGAAGTATCATCGTAATGAATTAGAAGTGAACCAGGTAATTTATTTATATCTTCGTTTTTTAATATGGGTTTGTCTTTTAAAACTGATTATATGTGACAAGTCGTCGTTTGTAAAACCAGCTTTGAGGAACGAGATCGGAGATATGGTGTTAATATCTAATTTGTTGAGTGCTTCTGTGATGTGAGAATGTGGAATAATGGGAGAAACATTTGAGATAATAATCCGTTTTGATGGGTTTACCAGTTTGCGTATGGCAATATTGTGGTTATTTACGTTGATTGAGGGGTATTGATTAATTATGTCATCAGCTATGTTTTTACTGGAGAAGTATACACAAAAAACGGTTGTTCGATATTCTAGAAGCGAGTTTAATATTCGACAGGTTAGTTAGTATGCTTAATGCTTTTATGTACTCGATTTGTGGAATTCTGTCTATTGTATTGAAAATAATTGCTTGGTCTTTTTTAGAGAAGAAGTTTGCAGTGGTTTCGGTGAACGATTTGTATGTGTGGTTTTCAATTGTTTGGGTTGGAGGTGACGCGTTTGAGGATGTAGATTGGTTATTTTTATTTTGAATGGTTTTTGGCGAGTTTGAAGTGGGTCGGGGTAGATTGGTAGACGTTTTTGAATTTAACGTATGATTTTTCGTTATCGATCTAGTACCGATGGTATTATTCGATGGTTTTATAAACGGTTTTAATTGAGGTATAACGGGCTTATCGCCCATTTTTGCTTAATTAGGTACTGATTTTAAATTAAATGAGAGTGGACTATGTACTATGTGATATACATTACCCAGCTCGGTGTGCTGCAACGTTCACAATATACAGCTGTCGGAAGCGAAAAAATACGGAGCGCGATTTGATTACACGTGGTGACGCTACGGAGGTCGGACACGTACTGTATGTACAATATCTGCATATTTATGAAATATTTTTCTAAATACTCAGGAATTGTTGATTCACTTTGTTTTAAAATGAAAAAAAATGTTATCTGTTTAATATAATCATTTACTATAGTAATTAAGATACACCATATTGTTTTTAAAAAAAAATATTTATTTTGTAATTTACTGGTTACAACTCATCAATCTAATATAGAAATATAACTTATATTAACCTTTTCAGACCTACCCAAATTTTTTTTAAAGAAAAAAAATGTTGTTTTCAATATTACGTATAAATATGAACTTTATAATACATAAAAATTAAAAAAAAAACATTCGATCATTTTTTTGGAAAATTCATGTTAGTACACTATAGTGTACTGTGGGTTTCAATTGATGTGAATTATTTGGTGAAATGAGTAGTAAATTGTACACATTTATATTTATTTACACATTAATTATAATTTTAAAAGCCATCTAAAACGTCTAAAACAATACAAATAAATATATAAAAAAATGTAAATATATAAAATTAACAAAAAAAAACAAATTTACTGAAAATAATAATAATAATAAATAATAATATATAATAAATTATTATTTATATATAATAAATAATAATTTACAAAAAATACTGGTACTTACCTCAGTATTTTTATAACGATAAAAAAAAACTAAAATAGTAAAATTATATTATTTCATTTAAATGGTACTCCCTGAAACATTTACTTTTTTCCATCTAAACACAAATGTTGCTTGCATGTTGAACAAAACATATGCGTTCTACAAGTACACGTCTTCAGTTTACATTTACCCACATAACATAAAACTACTATAAACGTTGGAGTTGAAATTGGAATATTCGATAAATAAGATTCAGTAATACTTGATTTAGTGTTTATTATTAAACATTTACATTAAAGTAAATGTTTAATATTGTATAAACACTTGAATTAGGTTAGATTATAAATATTAACCCGTCGTTGGTACACATATAGTTTGTAACATGATTGTTACACTGTGAGCGCGGCGCTTACACTTCACTTTTATTATTATTATTAATTGATCTATTAACTTAAAAAATCAAACCATATCTAGAATTATGTATATTTTTATCCTTCACTAAAAAGTATATAAATACTTTTTATGTACATTTCATAATTTATAAAATAAAATAAAAACCTACAATCTCATTCCAAAAAAAAATATTTTTTTTCATATAAAGAAATACAAATTAATTAAAACCTTAATATAAATGAAAATTTATAAACTATTAAATTTATGACTTTGGTCTATTCACTTTCTGTAGTATTTGTTTCGTTGTGATCGTTACAGCAGGATACGCATGTGCTCATCGTATGCTCCTTACATATTGGCACGCTGCATTTTACGCACTTGGTCTACGAAATTATTTCAAACAAATAATGATTACTTATATATAATATTATTATTATTATTATTATGTATTCATAAAAAATATTTCCTCACCATGGTCTTTCGATTTTTTCTTTTTGGACAAAATACGCACTTCGGACGATGTTCAGTATTTGAACGTTCAGGGACTTCATTTTCTGTCTTGGTGTAACCAGTTAATTTTATTATTCTTTGTCGAATACTTGTACGCAAAGTAGGCATCTGCAATCGTTCTAACATAAACGGTTTTGTAAGTTCTTTTCCCAAGGTTTTTAGAAATTCTCGACGACTTAGGTAAATTCCTGTATTTTCTCGAAAAATAATTTGGCTATTTATGCCTCCTATGTTCATCAAAGAGAAAAAAATGGTCAATGGCCACCTGCAACTTATTCTAGCCACAGAGTATTCGCCCTTCATTTCATCCACGCAATCCACGCCACCTTTTGTACTGTTATAATACGTAATCACCTCTGGTTTTCTTTCTTCAGACTCCGGATCAATGACACCTTGTTCGTGCATAGTGGAAATAAGCAATACATTTTTATTTTTTTTTGGTACATATGATGTAAGCAATATGTCTTTGTCATAACCAAACATCGTAGAGTTCAATTGCCTTTTTTTTAGTTTCTAAAAAACAAAGGGGAATTTCACGTTTGTTTTTACGAAGTGTACCAACTACAGTTGTATTGTGATTTTTTAGTAGATCAATTGCTAGAGGTATAGAATTATACCAGTTATCCATAGTGATATTACGACCTGTTTTCGTTATTGGGGCGATTAATCTTTTCACGACACTTGCAGGGTTATTGTCACATTTATAAGGCCCATCGGGCTGGGTCCCAACGTACACTTCCATTTTTGACGTATAAAAGGTGCGAGAGTCGACTAAGGCCTGAATTTTTATACCATATTTGTTAGGCTTACTTGGGATATACTGTCGGAAACTACAACGGCCTCGAAAACCTTCGAGCATTTCATCTATAGTTACATTTGCCCCCACTGTATAACAGTTCTCGCAGCGTAGAACAAAGTCTTCAAATACAGAACGAATGGCCGCAAGCTTATCAAATTGTTTTCTTTGGGCCCGTGTACCTATATCGTCAAACCTCATTGCTCTTAGAAGAATATAAAATCGTGCTTTTGGCATAACTGCTCGAAAATACTCGGGGGATAAGCCATCGTTTGACCATAAATCATCAAGGTTGAGATGATGACTACGTAGAACACCGGCCAAATATAACAGTCCAAAAAGTGCGTTTATTTCGGATTTTGATGTTTCGCGTACCATATGTTGTTGTGTATATTTTGAACGAATTTTATCGAGATATATGTTAGTGTATTTTACTATATCGTCAATAATGGAATTAGAAAAAAATAAGTTCCAGCACTCCAAAATAGAATTTGCATCGCGACCTATTTGTTTTACGCCTGGTAAACGTAAAACAATGTTACGTTGTCGAGTACGTACATTTCTAGGAGGAGCGTCCTTATACCATTTTGTTTGTTTATCTTTCCCTAAGTAGTAAGAATTCTGTGCTATAGGACTACGACTTCTTGAACGAGAAGTTTTCGAAGTATTTGATCTATGCGTAGGTTCAGAAATGTCACTTTCAGACTTATTTTCACGTAATTCGACGGGATCTCCATAACTAGGATCAGCATCGGTATCGTCTGAGTCATCTAAAAAAACTTCTTCGGTCTCTTCTAACCACGAAATAACTTTATTGGCCATGATAAATTAAAAAATAATAAAAACACGTGTACGTAATTGACTACGGCGGTGGTGTTAAAAATATTGCGCGGTTAGTACAGTGTTAGCGCGACGCTCACTTAATCGGTACTGTCGACTTTGTCTAACGATAACTGATAGGCAATGACAAATAGCGTAATTATTTATTTTTATAAATATTTATAGACATGTTATTTGAAGGTATTTATAGTATCAGATCAATTCAATAATATTTGTACGAATAACGCTCGAAAAGCTATCTGTGTGAGCGACGCGCTCACATGTGTACCAACGACGGGTTAAAAAGTTAATTTGTACTAAACGCTGAATAAACATACAATGACTAACCTTTAAATAGAGTATCATAAATAATGCTTATTAAACCTAAATCTAAAAGTATTTGAATTTTGAAGTATATATATACGTATAAGTTAGGTAACTGCAGCCCCTTGGTATATTTTGTCTTGATATGTTCTTTACTAAGTTTGAGAATTGGCCATAATTTTCAGGTATTGGAGTGATTTTGTTGATTTCAGTGTCCAATTGTGTCCTAAAGTTGTCCCAGTTGGCTTTTTT